CCAGTGAAAGGCTCGATCCTATGACCCAGGGATCATGACCTGAGCCTATATCAACAGTCAGATGTTCAACCAACTGAGCCACCCAGGCGCCCCACTGGCTTCTGTTTTTGGGTATTTGAGGAGACAAATCTTTACTGTCTGAGGTTTAGGGAAATCTTTGTCACCTTGGAAAGGAGAAGTTGGAAACAAGAAGCATATCAAAAAAGATAATTCTAGTTCTGTTGCTGTGTGTTCTCACAGTGAAGAGTTGCCTCAGGGTGACAAGTCTCCCATCTTTGTCTCTGTCCATCAATCACAGGGCCAGGACCTCAGCACAATTTCACCAGCAATCATCTTTGAATCAATGTTCCAGAATTCAGATGATCCGGCAATTCAGGAAGATCCTCAGCAGACAGGTTTGTTTCACAGACTCTCTTCCTGAGTATCTCTTGCACGGGTCAAGGGACTCCCCACTCGTTGACACACCCATGCAGGCACGGGGAAGTTGTAGTTCAGTTCCTTTGAACAAAGTGTGCATTTGGCGAGGGGTCAGGGAAGCGTGGGCCTTTTGTTCAACCCATCTTTTCCTCTCCTTCCCTCAGCAAGAGTCCACTTGAGGGCCTACTGTCCCTAGACCTTCAGAAGAAGGGGTCTCCTTCTCTAAAAGCTCTCATTGGCTTTCAAAACCGAGGAGAGCTCAGAGCTCTTTCTTTTTCTGATGCGATACTGTGCTCGTGAGTGGGCAGGATCCACAAACAGCATCAGATGCATAGATCATTCTGTGTTTGAATGAAAATCTGTCCCTGAAGCTTTCACGGTAGTCAGAAAGTGTGTTCACTGGTTTTGCCAAAAAAGGATGTCCAGTCTCTTCCAGAAAAGCCTTAGGATACTTTTTTTTTTTTTTTTAAATGATAAAACCTATACTAGCTCTTCACATTTAGAAAGTGAGACTGATCACGAAGCCCGGTTCTTTGAGCAGAGCGGTCACTAAATGAAAACAGAAAGCCAGCCTTCTGGCAATGAAGGTACTGGCTCTGACGGACTTCAGCTGCCTTTGGTGTCGCCATAATGACTGTGTTTTTGTGGCTCATGTAAGGCTTGGGATATGTATATATCTTTCTATTTCTTTTTCTTGCCAGCTGCCTTGATTGAAAGTTTTAATGGTGATGCAGAGTCAGTCAGTGATGTTCCGCCAGCCACAGGAAATTCAGCATCTTTATCTCTTCCGCTTGTACTGCAGCCCGGCATCTCCGAGCCACCCCAGCCTCTACTACCAGCCTCAGCACCGTCTGCTCCTCCGCCTGCTCCCTCCCTAGGAACTGGTTCCCAGCAAGCTGCATTTGGCAACCCCTCTGCTCTCTTACAACCTCCAGAAGTGCCTGTTCCCCACAGCACACAGTTTGCTGCTAATCATCAAGAGTTTCTTCCGCACCCCCAGGCCCCACAGCCCATCGTCCCAGGACTTTCTGTTGTTGCTGGGGCTTCGGCGGCGGCATCAGCCGTGGCAGCACCGCCCCAAGCGCAAAGTACTACTGAGCCCCTGCCAGCCGTGGTCCAGACTCTGCCCCTGGGCGCCAACTCTGTCCTGACTAATAATCCCACTATAACCATCACCCCGACTCCCAGCACGGCCATCCTGCAGTCCAGCCTAGTCATGGGAGAACAGAACTTACAATGGATATTAAATGGTGCCACCAGTTCCCCGCAAAACCAAGAACAAATTGTAAGTATTCTGACTGAAAGGACCCCCGGGGGTGAAGCGTATTTACACGGGTGACGTGTTCAGAGGCTTTTACTTCAAAAGGAAGATGGTTATCGTATCTGCCCTGAAACATGTAATTCGGCCTCTTGTCACTTCCCCACGATCGAGGGGTATAAATCCAGGGAGTGCTGTGATGGATACCTGCAGGAGGGAAGCAGAGAAGCAGCCTTCGTGTACTGCCGGGTGGATGGCCGCAGGCACGTGAACAAATGTTCCATCTGCAGTGTAATGCCACCCTCTAGGACAGGACAGCAGTCAACAGACTGCAGAGGCCCGAGAACGATGTAGGAAAGCGGTTCTTCTCCAAGGCAGAGTCAGACTGACGTGAGGGAATGGTGGGCCACCGTCTGGTAGAAAACAGCAGTGGCCAAGTCAGCGAGAGAGTCTGTGCACCCAGGACCTGCTCTAGAGCCAGTTTCTGCAAAAGTGTTTGGTCTCGATGATGAAGGAAATGACGTGGTCATTCACTTAAATGCATTTCAAGGGCCCAGTATTTACCAGATACCATGCATGATACTCTTGGGGGTACAGAAAAGTGGAAACCATGATCTCTTTTTCATAAAAACATATTCTGCTTAAAGATGCTAAAATGTCCCAAAGAAGGGTAACATTACCGGTAGGTAAAGTGCCGAATCGCAATGAAAATGGTAGTAACAGCTGTGATATATGGAACCCTTACTACGTGTAACAGCTTACTGTGCTAACTAAGCACTTTTTGAAATTGTTTTTTTTTTATTTTTTTTTTTTCAACATTTATTTATTTTTGGGACAGAGAGAGATAGAGCATGAACGGGGGAGGGGCACAGAGAGGGAGACACAGAATCGGAAACAGGCTCCAGGCTCTGAGCCATCAGCCCAGAGCCTGACGCGGGGCTCGAACTCATGGACCGCGAGATCGTGACCTGGCTGAAGTCGGACGCTTAACCGACTGCGCCACCCAGGCGCCCCATGAAATTAAGGATCTAACATGTGCCAGTCATTACCTTCTGTACATTATTTTTAGATTACTTTTTTTTTTTTTTAAGATTTTACTGAACAGGTGGGGCAGAGAATTTCCATACACTCCCTGGCTACCCGTCCCTCCCTGCCAGTTTGCCCTAATAGTAACATCTTGCATTAGTTTGGTACATTTGTTATAACTGATGAATCAGTATTGATATATTATTACTAATTAAAGTCCATAGTTCACATCAGGGCTCACAGTTTGTGTGCAGCATTCTGTGGGTTTTGACAAAGGCATGATGTCATGTGTCTCCCATCATAATATTCAGAGAAGATTCAGCACCTAAAAATCCCTGTGCTTTACTAATTCATCCCTTCTCCCTCTCCCCCTTTCCCCTAGCAACCATTGATTTTTTTTTAATTTTTATAACGTTTATTCATTTTTTTTTTATTTAAAAAAAAATTTTTTTTTCAACGTTTATTTATTTTTGGGACAGAGAGAGACAGAGCATGAACGGGGGAGGGGCAGAGAGAGAGGGAGACACAGAATCGGAAGCAGGCTCCAGGCTCTGAGCCATCAGCCCAGAGCCTGACGCGGGGCTCGAACTCATGGACCGCGAGATCGTGACCTGGCTGAAGTCGGACGCTTAACCGACTGCGCCACCCAGGCACCCCATGAAATTAAGGATCTAACATGTGCCAGTCATTACCTTCTGTACATTATTTTTAGATTACTTTTTTTTTTTTT